ACATAAGCATTCGGTGAATTTGTTACACTTCATTGTCAGTCTTGATGCTTGTTTTTTTAAACAGTTTTAAAAACAGCAGTAAAATTTCAATTAGTCGTCACATTGAGAATCATATCCACAAGACAGGCTAACATTTCTGAATAGAAAACAGTAGCTATTGACAAATGATAACAATTTGATATCTGCAAACTTTCTTTCATTGCACTTTATTTTTAAATATATACAAATTACATAATGAAAAAAGATCCCTGAAACAGATAAAACTGAAAAAAAAACTATAGCATTCTTTGACGTTTGCTACATTTGCATACGCCAGCTCCACAAAATTTGGCTCCAACAGAACCGAAAGCCGCACCCGCACCAGCACCGACAGTAGCACCACCGATCGTACTAAGAGTAGCACCACCCATAGCAATAAGAATACCAGTAACACCAAATGGACCTAGAATAGCTACAAGAAAAACCGAGACACCAGCAAGGGCACCTACACTCAGAACACCGGCCGCAGCGCCCTCGCGAGCACCCGCACGGACACCATGATCTCGACATTTGCCGCATTTACGACAACGACGACCATCACACTCAAGGGTTTTAGTGGGGAATGGCATAGACATTAATAATATTGATTGTTGATCTTCAAATGAATAAAGTCTATCCTTACTATCAGAAAAATTGAAACCTAGTTCAGATATTTTTGAATGAAAAAAACCTTTATACTAATGAATAGTACACGTAATCGATTTTGGTGTTTTAAAAAATTTTCTATAGTAAAGCAAACAACTTGATGTATAGACGCTTACCTATTCTGAATATAGAGTTAGACGAATGGCACTACCGTTCTTGTATTAATACGATATTATATGACGAAATATCCTTTTTCCAGTACCGGAATTACTCATTTGAATACAAAATACAAATAGTAGATGCAATTCATAGAAATTGGAAAATGTCAAATCTGACTTTCGTTTAAACATGATGTCATCTTGCGCCGACGAAAGCACTCATAACACATTTTCGTTCCTCAGTATGACTCACTACGTCTCATTCTATGAAACACATCGACGCATATTTGTTCTGTTCGCATGGAGCAAAAATGTCTTCCACGTGCTCGATTACACCCATATTGCCTCGTAAATATATCTACAGTGCAAATATACATTGAGTCATAATGACGATCGTAGATGCGGAATCAAGTCTAGTAGGACGGTTATAACATTATTGTGCATAATTACATCAAAGTAGGAAAAAAATTATGAAATGATGAAAAATTTCACAATCACTCAGAACACTACACAGTCTGTGAAAGAGCTCAATGAAAAAATGTTTAAAAAAAGAATCATGTGGTCATTCACGATAGGCGAACGAATGATTGAAATACAAATACATGTTGTCATTAGAAAACTTGTGTTTTCTATCGTTTCTAAATTACACTGCAACTTTAGCCGTACCGACCGCAAAGTAGCAGCATGAAAAAAAATGCATGCAAAGTGTCGCATACGTTGCTTTTTGACGTGCGTTAAATAGGATAATTTACCAAGATGATAGAGGGTGTGGGTTCAGTTGAAGAGAAGAAAAATGCTCACACCCATACCCTCACCGTGTAAAAAATTCTCGAACACATCGAATTGGATCATTCCAGGTTAAAATCAACCTGTCAAATCCTATCGAATCCGAAGCTATCCGGCAATGGAAACTTGTTGAATTCAATGAAATCCGATGGTATGACAGTATCTAGTTTTGCTTTTTATGACTAATAGACAACATGTGTAGTATATTTGTTACACTGTTTATGACGACGTCAAGTCGTTTTCCTCTAGCACACGTCAGTCATTCATGCTTCGAAGCGACAGTTTACGGTGAGAAAGACAGCTATATAACTCACTGGAATCTTTTAATGGTTATATTAATTCATTAATAAATTTAATAATCATTGTTTGACGAGTAAGACGTTCCATAGAAGCATATTTCTAAAAATATGTTTGTTTTAGTAAATTTCAAATAAAAAAATATTTTTTACGTCTCTCATTTTCACATAAATAAACCAAATAGTTAAATAATTAATTTTTTCTTCACATCCCTGGTTAATGATTCCGACGGTCGAAAACGGCATCTTATCTGGTCTGAAACAGCCATAAAACAAAGAATTACTCCGTAGATGTGAATGGGGTGTGAGTCAAGAGTGCACTCTAAAACAAAAAGGTTTTCTACCAAACCTATAAAGGTTCTTCACCTCGATATACGGGAAGATCTTTTTTTTTGGTTTCGTAAAAAAGGGTGTGAGTGTAAATGTTTTCTCCATCATACTGGGACACCCCACACCCACACCCTAGTTTTTTCCTCATATCCTTAAATACTTTTGACAATGTCGCTGCCGCTCGATGAATTTCTTCCTTGATATCGTGCATAGTTTCCCGAGATTCATTCCAGGTTTGTGCTATTTTTTTAACCAATTTTTTTGTCTTTTGAAATCTCCTCCAGTGTCATTGTTTTCCTAGAAAATAAAGATTTTTGCATGAAAAATTTTCTTGATTGGACCACTTCGTATTCTTGAATTAATTTAACATCAACATTGAAGGAATCTTCGGTGCAATTTGTAAATATGAAAAACAAATTGTTGAAAATACTATCTGATAAGTTGATAGTTGTAGTGAGAAATAAGCAGCGATATTGAATCCTTACAAAATTTTAATTTTTTGTCTGTGGAGAAAGCCGGGACATACACTATTGTTGTTTACCCTAAATTTCGATAAGCATATAGTTATCTTCAATGTACCAAATGGTTATACTTCAATTTTATGTCTGTCATAAAATGTGTTATTACTATTTCTAATAGACGGAAAAAACAAATTTTTTTCTGTTCTGGCTGTAGCAATAGAGGAAAAAATGATCAACACGTTCGCAGATACGGCACCTTTATTAATAAAACAATGTTTAATAAGAAACACTCATACCACACTTTTTTTGTATTCATGTTCTGTGAGCTAAATATCACAGAAGAAAATAACGATTGCTTATGAATCACACAAGCTGAAGTCATCAATCGTTCTTATTGCTAACAGATCTTGTCTTTGGCTTGAGGTCTTGCGTGGATGATAAAATATCAACTTCAAGTAAGAACTGTTAGCTAACTTTCATAAACCAAGACGCTAATTCTGAAAGGTCCAAAGTGACCTATAAAAAACCTAAGTAGTGATATGGCTTGTTGGAGCTCTTCTAATTAGAAATTGTGTTTAGAAAAGTCCTAAGAGTCCAAGCCATATAATTATTTGACTGTGCATAATTACTTTGAATTTCCACAGATGCATAGCAACAACGCACATGAACTTATTTCATTTCACATGATCCCTTCTTCAGTCGAGTAAATAGGGTGTGGGTGTGGGTGTGAGTGTAGGTGTTCTCTTTCAACCACACCCACCCTTCCTAAAATATATTTCCGTTATTCAGATATTTGAAAATCTTTGAAAGACCTCAAAGTAGTTTTTGCGATTTTCATCTTAAAATGATCGCTACAATTGAACGAAGATGAATTTCTAAAAACTGTTACTACAATTTCTAGATGAAAGATTTTTCTTCATTTTGAAACAAAGTTCAACATTTCCCATGCCACCGCGCATCGGGAAAATATTCCGTGTCGAAAGCTCCGCTTTTATGAATAAATTGAGTATAAATCATTAATTATCAAAAATTATTGGTTCAAATTTGTATAAAATGCTATTTACATTAGCTGTTCTATTACTTGGAATTTTCATCAAAATCTGTTATACCGTTTAGAAGGATCATCTGGCAAAGCAACTCTGGAAATGATAGACTATAGATCTGACAAGAGTAAAAATCATCTGAATAGCACTAAGATTGTTATAGAGTCCATGTAGACGCACTTTTTAATTTTTTTCCTTCAAGACTTATTCGCGAAACTTGATATGGTCTCTATGCATTATTATAAGACTAGTGATTAAAAAAAGAGATCGTTCAGAAAAGAATAGGCATTGATGTAGTTGGAAACGAAAAGTAGTATTGTAGGTCCGATTGGACCCACAAAAAGCATCCTAGGGTTAAGCAATACTATTAACATCCTTCTTATCAAAATACAAACTTGTACAAAGACCACTACATATATTAACTTGAATTGTATCTTCTCTTCTTCTTTGCTAATTTACAAACTACTTGCCATCTCGATTGTGTTTTCCGACATTTATATAACCAATTAGATATCAAAATCTGTCTAACACCTTGTGGATTGTTTTGACGTTTGATGCTTGATATGAATTACGTGGTTAATTGTTTATCAATTTGGAATTTTGGACAAAAAAATATTCTCACAGTTTGAGTACGTTAAAATTTATTTTTAGTCCATTAACCAAAACATACTGGAAAGGATTTCTTTCTCAATTACAAATATTCGAGATATAAATAATAGTTTTCTACTTGTTAAACATTGACAATATTGAGTTTCAATTTTATTTCAATGAATTATTTTTTCGAATACATATTCTTTTATACTCATTCATCTTTTCTGAAGTGTCTTGTACAATGATAATCCAGCAGAATAATTAGCCAACGAAATAGCATTGAATAAGAAGGACATGTATGATTATATAAAGAGAGAAGAATTGATGATTGAAGCTCCGTTGATGCATATAAATGACGATACTGACAATTTGAATGAGAGTGGGTGGCCAGTCGTTGGATCTAATCAAATCTTTAGAATTTCTGATGAGACTCTATTTAGTTCGGCTAAATCCGACAACAGGATCGTTTTTTCTAGATCATTGAATGTAACTCTTATTCCACAAATATCCTTGGGTTCACTCAAACAGACAAGATTTTACATACAATGGTCGATCATTAGACATAGTCAAAGTTACGAAATAATGTCAAATAAATTTTGGATGGAATTGGTACAGCAGTTCTCTTTTATGCTACATTCATAAACTTAGTAATTTACAAATGAATTTGATACTCAAAAAGAAAAATTTCAAGATAATATTTTATAGAAGTTCGATAGTTTTTATAATCAAAAGTTAATGAAAATGAATTTTCATCTTCGCTTTCTACTTATGATCAAGATGAATTAAACAATGAAAAAGTTGTCAAACTTTCAAAGATTATTCTGAAAAAAAAATTGACATCCACAATTATTTATTCTTGATATTAGTCGAGATCACGATAAAGAAATAAAATATAATATTAAAAAGATCTCCTTTTTGAATTCAAATACATGAAATTTATGATGGGGCACTACAAAAGTTTTTTCGCCCAGCTCTCTTAAAAGACTTGACCGAGAACTAACTATATCGCTATAATGCACAGAGATATTTAGGATTATATGCAAAATTTCAGACTTCTTAGTCTTGTGCTTTGTTGTAGTCTACTATTTCTTTTGTATTAGTGAGGCAGATTACATAGTCGTGGTCGTGTTTTGTGTATCAATTTTCAATCCTTCAATAAGTTGTGTTAGAAAAACAAACTACATCATAAGATGCAGCGGGTGAAGCTCTACAATTTACATTAGACCACTTTTTTTTTAAATGGTTGCATGTTTTTCTTTCAAAACGAGCAAAATTTTTACTATCCACATTCCGGCAGTACAAATAACTATATTATTTTACACAGAATGAGGGTGTGGGTGTGAAAAGAAGATCAATACCCACCCACACCCTGTCTCACACTCTGGAGCTGGAAGAGTTGTTTGCTTGTTTTTGCAAAATTCAGTTTGAAATAAAACCAAACATAAAAGTGTGTTTTTTTTTTGTTGCCGAACGATTGTTATGTTTCAATATGCTTCAACCGACTGAAAAAAAGAACACACTAAAAGCTTTTCTTTTTGCAAGATTGTATGAGGACTAAAGCCGATGTAAAAAAGAAATGAAAGAATAGAAAAAAGATTCCTATCAATGTAAAATGTGTTGCTAACATAATATTTCGACGTTTTAAGGGCACACAGTCTTTCGAAGAAAGCAAAAATTCTAAGATAAACATTAACAGTATCGTAAGTAAAATATTTTCAACAAAAGATATTTTTCTACTCTCCTGTGGAAAAGAATTCTAGCAGAATAAAATAGACGCAAACGATTCATGTCGGATACCGTCAGTACTGTTGGTAATGAACATCCGGCGATTCCTTTTACCCATCATCGATGTGAATTCCAATGGTACTGGAATGATGATCCTTATTCTGAAAACGGTTCATCAAGTGAACACTGGAAAAAGTATTCGGATACTGAAAATGAAGTTATTGAAGAAGCATATACAGCAAACAAATCCGAAACCGAAATAGACGGTAATTTTATAATTAGCCTAAAATTCTATATGCAATACAGCAAAATGGATAAAAATAAAAAATGTGCGATAAAACGTGTGCCAATCGATCGAAATACTGTTCATTTGCGTGAAGAACGATTTTTGTCACCCATCTTTCTCATGCAGCAACCATCGACGGCAGATCTAGCAGTTGATCCGAAAGAATTTCATCTGGAACGAACAAGTCGTGGCCATGATATTTCATTTACTTTCATGGTACGGGAAATAAAGAATTTTTCTACTCTTGCTGATGTTGTTGAAGAAGCTGCCAGAGGTATCATTAAACAAAGTATCATCAGCAACAAAAGAATTGAGGGGGAATGGCTAGCTCTACAACTCCGCGCCGTGAAGCATTTCGGTGACAACATAAAGTGTAATTCTGGTAATTGCAAAATTCCCGAAGAAATTGGACAAACATGTGTGTTCCTGTACACAACGGAAAGCTTTTGGTATAAAGCACTAAATGAGATTACTCGTGATGTTACCAAAGTTAATCATGAAAAATTTAAAATGTTTGGACCATTTTGTTATTTACTTACGTTCTATTTAACTCGAACGCAAACACGAGATGTTACAACAGTTTATCGTGGGGTTACATTAACAGATGAACAGAGACAACAGTATATGAAGGGACGAATATGCTTCACATCGTTTACTTCGACAAGTATTAACCGAAAAAAAGCTGAAGAATTTGGAAATACTCTTTTTATTATGAATCTGAATGTGTATCAAGATATAGATATGGGCAATGATCGAGTACCTTCTGGAAGGCATATTGCCTCGTTATCCTATTTTCCAGACGAGGAAGAATATCTGTTATGGACGGGTAATGCATTCTGGTTTGCACATTATGAGTATGATGTGGCAAAGAAAAAACATATTATTTATCTTTCTGCCACTTGGCACTGAATTTTTCGAAGATGTATGTCATAGTTGACTTGAAAATTCAATTTCGATTCGAACGAATAAACAAATAACGCTCATCTGTATGACTCCCTGAACCATCGACTGAATTTTTCACTCGTTCAATAGTTTTTAGTGGTAAAAATATTTTTCGATAGTTAGCAATTGAAATTTGTATATGGCTAGGGTCTAGTGTGAACATAAATATCCACAGGGTGTGGGTGTGGACAAACAAGAAGTTAACATCTGAATTCACACCACACACTCACACACCCACACCCACACCCTAACAAAAATTAGCTTGTTAGCTCCAATCATAAGGGAGATATCCAACATTTTTTCAGTAAACTGCCTTTTTGGTCACATGTCAGGTAGATTATTTTTATTTTCGAATAAATTTAGAACAATATTTTCCTGTGAAAAAATAACTAGTAAGTTTATTCGTGTTGTTGAGCTAGCCATGCTTCAATAATATTTTTGAATGCAAAATTTTGAGTAACACCAGTAATAGCTGTTCGACATGAAGGACAAATATTGCTTGTTCTTAAATACTGGTTAATGGCACTCATTTCAAACATATGTCCACAAGGTACGGTCGTCGCAGGATTTTCCATGATATCGAGTGTAATTGGACAAGGGAATAATTCTTTATCGAGTGTTACTTTCGATGAATTCTCTGTTGGTTTTACAGTAGTTGCTTGTGTTGGTAATGATTCAAGATCGGCCATACCTGAAAGTGAATCGTCATTTACTGTTATTTTAGCCTTCTGAAGCAATGCAAATAAACTTTCGAATTGTGGACGAGCTGCGACCGAGCGTAATTGCAGTGTAATTTTTTTATGTTGATTTTCTAAATATTCCTGAACACCAGGTTTATCCAGATGAATGAAAGGTACAATCTCCATAGAATTTTCCTCTATCATCGCCTTTTGTCCACATTCAATTGCATAATCCAATTCACTAATACCAGCCGATACTTGTTGACTAGCTACTCGTGCATATTCACCGAATCCACGTAATGCTCCAGCAACGAATCGATCATCACAATGTGAGATAAAATAATCAATAATAATTGATCTAGTAATGTTTATGACTACTTTTTCAGTTGGAATAGTAGCATCTTGACAGGCAGCTTTGGCTGCAGTGACCGTTTCGTGTGTTTGGGCTTGCAACCCCCAGAGTACACATGGAATGGTTTTAAGTCGATCTCGAATAGTATAGATATGTGCATTGATTTGATCAGATGAGTAAGAACCTTTGCCGAATTCTTCCAATTGATCACGAAGAATGTCAACATCTTTTCGAGTACACGTATTGTAGAGTTCGATAGCATCATCTGGAAAATTAGCATACTCTTGTTTAGATAAATACCGTGGTCGAATTACGGCACCATGTTTGCGAAGATTGATGTTGTACCATCGTTCAATTTCGTGTTTATCTGTGACAAATGCTATTCGTTCAATGACTTGACCAGTTTGGGCATCGACTCGATCGAGTTTTTCATTGACAAATATACACCAAGCCATTGGTACATCAGTATCAATATATGGTGAAACATTTTCATAAATTGGTTTCTCATAAGTAATCGAGCCATCGGTCAATCGTAGTAGAAAACCTTTTAAAGCATGAACAGTTAAGATTTGATGAATAGATTGTAAAACTTCAGCTGGAAGATCTATTTTTGGAGCAAGTTCACGAAGATTTTTCATCCAGAATGCAGATCGATTTTCATCTTGATCTAGATCAGTTAAATATTTGTTGTGTACAACTAAACTTGGTAAAGCTTGTGTAATAAAATCAGGAAAAGTTCTGCCAGATGCATCCATGACCCAAGCTAATCGAAGAGCTGCTAATGGCTGTAATGTCCAGTCTCGATCTAATGGCATGTCTCTTGAATGTTGATATTGTTGAAGACAGATTGGCAATTGACGTAGGATAGATAAGAGATCGACAGTACCATTTGGTTTTTTCCAAATGAGAATATTCAAATCTTCTTGAGCTACAGTTGGTCGATCATCAATTCTTGAAACGGATAAAATATCAAGAATAAGTGATAAACGATCAGCATCTTCTGGTGAATATAGAGTTTTCAATTGTTGTAATGCTTCAGATAACATTTCACTTGTGCAAGTCAAACTAGTGATTCGTGCGTTGAAGAAAGCGACAGATTTTCCATATTTACGTTCATTATCATCGATAATCATTGCTCGTTCACTGAAACTCATTGCATCATCCCAGAACTTTTGCAATTCTGCTTTTGCCTTTGGATCATATGCAAAATTTTTGATATTCTTGCCCAAAATTATCTAATATTTTTGTTAAATATCCGTACAATTGTTGGCAAGCACTATTGGTTTCTAAATGACTTTGTGATATTTTAATCAATGGTGTTACTAATGACATTAAATTTC